TCTCTCTCTCTCTCTCTCTCTCTCTCTCTCTCTCTCTCTCTCTCTCTCTCTCTCTCTCTCTCTCTCTAGGACTGCTAGATCTTCCTCCAAATGTCGAGAAGATGCCATTGGCCTTTTTTCGGGGGGTGGTAATTGGCCAAGTACCGCCATAAGTTGGGATATATGTCAAAATGTCCCTGAAAATTGGCCGCTTTTTTTGCAATTGCACCCACCAAAAGTTGGCAACTACCGGGGCATTTTGCAAAGTTGGACGGTGTCTGGTAGGGTACATTGCAAAGATGGGGTTCAAACGATGTCTGGGGTCCTTCCTCCAAATGTTTTTGCTGTCGTCCTTGACCGCAGCGTAGCTGCGGGGGGTCCACTTGTTAGTATAAATCTTTGTAAATTTAATCTCGAAAACTCAGACCAAGAACTGTACGTACTCTGAATCTAGGACCGAAAGATTTGAAAATTTGAAAAATCAATTCCACGGGAAGAACCTCTTCTATGTCTGATGTTCGTGGTGTGTTTTTCATTTTGTTTTCATTGGCCTCCGCCATGTCGCAGTGGGCATATGCTTGTCTTTGTAAAGGGTGACGGCCTATACAGTGCGCTGAAGTAGAGAAGCAGCACAGAAGTGGAACAGTGACGTCATTATTGGCTACGGCCTATACAGTGCGCTGAAGTAGAGAAGCAGCACAGAAGTGGAACAGTGACGTCATTATTGGCTATGTAATCCTCTATAAACCTTTGTAAATTTAATCTGGAAAACTCAGACCAAGAACTGTACGTACTCTGAATCTAGGACCGAAAGATTTGAACAATCAATTCCACGAGAACCTCTTCTATGTCAGATTTATGAAGCTTGCATCCATAGATGCCATGCTTAACAAACAAAAAAAAAAAAAAGAGGGGGATGGGATGGAGATACCATTGTTGGACATGGCAGGACACGGAGACGTGGTTGACGAAAATGTATTTTGCAGACCCTGAGGAGGCAGCATCATGGTAGGGAGCAGGTAGCTGCTGGATGCTGGGGCGGGTCATGGGAAAGAACCAGAGGAGGAGGGATGGGAATGGAGAGGAATAGCTGAAGGGGAAACGGTTTTTTGTTTCTATTTTTTCTTCATCTCCTTGTCTGGCTGACATGCAACCAAGACGCGGACTCGCAAACCAGACACGGCCACGGCTGACCTGCTGCTATGCAATGCACTACTAGCCATTTGAAGATTATTGAGCAAAATGATGTGTGTTGCTTCCATGCTTGTTTAATTGGTCCACTGAAATGTTGAAAGATTTGGCCTGAGCAAAGTGAATGATGGCGTGTTTTTTGTTGGAAAGGTTGCAAGATATAAAGGGCAGGGACGGCTGGCGGAACCAGGTTTCAAGAATCCTCGATGGGTTGATGGCGAATTGGTTCAGCTAAATGGGAAGGTATGATGGCGACGTCCTCTGCATCATACCTCCTAGCAAAGGAAAAGGGAGAAGTTCTGGATTTTGGTATTTCACTATTTTGAATTTCTGGAGTAGGTGCTTCCAAATATGTCTAAGCACATTAAGGCTTAGCCACCAGTACATCTGGAGAGTTCGAATGAGTCTCTCCGGGGACTCGGGACAGGGCCCGTTCGGGGGCGGGTGGAATTTGTATTCTGTCCAGGGCTGATCCCGGTGCCACTGCATGGCATGGGACAAGTTTTTTGTCTACTACCGTCTTCCCCCGAACACAACGCACCCTCATTTTGGCTGTATCTGGCCGGAAATATGGCTTGTATACATTCATTTTTAGGGTGCGTTATGTTCGGTGGAAGACGGTAGCCCTTCGGATGCCCTGTCCCGAGCTTCCAAAATTTGAGGAGAGGCTCATTCGGATTTTCAACTTGACTGAGGCCATGTACTGGTGGTTTAAAGCACCAGTACACGACTACCTGGGCCACGGGCCTGACACCTTGAATTCCGGAGGCGCGAAACGAAAAGCAACACTGATCCAATAAATAAACTGCTGGGGCCGTGCACTAGCAGTTTAAGCCACGATGACGTTCTGGATGTCGGACTAAGCATCCTCCTCCAAGATGTTTTGTTCTAAGGGCATACTCACTATCACCTTTTGGACTCAGCTCTGGACGTTACTAACACAGCCAACGATGGCTGTAAATGCAGTCAGATACATGCATAAAAGTTCTCGTGTGAGTGTGCGCTAAGAATCTCTCAAGCAACACGGTTGCCGAACCTAAATTGCATGGTTACCCTGGACCCAGACCAGGACATATCTGCAGGGTGAAGATCCATACGGTCTGTTTTTTTCTTTTTTTTGTTGATATCATCTGCATGTCTGGATTGTTCTGGATAAGGGGTGTACCCATCCTCCCTCTTCTTCTTCTTCTTCTTCTTCTTCTTCTTCTTCTTCTTCTTCTTCTTTTCATAAACAGGTCCTTATGGCCCTGGCTCCATTTCCATTCTGGGGAGCGTCAGTCCGGTTCCTATTCCACCGGCAAGTCAGAATAAAATATTACATCATGAAACACACTCACTGTTCCTTCCGTCCGGCCGAAGGAACCCTGACCAGCATTGATTACTCCCGCATCGTGGAGGATTGACTGTCAGCTTGCCTTACCTCTCAGGTCCACTGCACAAACCTGTCAGATAAATAATAAAGAGCAAGAAAGGTAAGAGAAGCTACGGAAGTTACAGTCCCATAATTCGGCCTTCAATATTATGTGACCTGTGATGGATCTTGTCCTTCTGCTGGCTGGGATCTCTGTCTTCTCCACCATGCTTCTGAGTTGTGTCAGTCTTTCCATCGTATGTGAAAGTCATTTATCTCTGCCACTTTGCCCCTTGCAAGCCACACCTTAGTGAATTTTGCATTGATTGTTCTCTGCTGCTCTTCATCATCTGGCATGGACTGTCTCGTCTTGTGCCACTTACAAAGGATCTCCGCCTGAATCAAAGTCCTTGTCTCCGCCCATACCTTCGCCCTTGGAGTTGAGAGTCCCTCAATGGTTCTACAGCACCTTTCCTTCCAGATGGACCACAGTGTTACCTTCTGATAATTCCAAACCACGTTTTCTCTGTCTTGTGGAATTGAGCTGGGATGGTAGTCCATAAAAGGAGTTGGATGGGGTGTTCAGGGAGGGAAGTCGAGAGGGAATGCCAGAGATCCGGGGCCCTCGCCCAATATTCGGTCGCCTCTCTGCATCGTATCAGGCAATGTAGCATATCTTCTGGTTCATTTTCTGAACATACCGTGCATAAATCTGAACTATTAGGGTCATTCTTGCTTCTTCTGATATGCAACCACTGGTTAACCGGTAGAGCTACGTATGAGATGAGCCATTGGAGGCTTCTGATTTTGACCGGACGAATTGACTTGAATTTTTTCCATGGTATTTGTGGGATCTGACTAGCTTCTTGACCTATTAACTTTTGCCATCTGTCCTTTATCATTGGGCCAGGATCCTTTGTTTTGAGGACTAAGTTGTATCCCAGTTTGACTGAGTATTCTTAAATGGAAACATTAGTTTTGAGGCTTCTATTTCTGTCTGGTGTCCAAGCCCACTCTGCTGGATCAAATTCCAAGTCTTGAATCACGGTATCCATTCTGAAGATTGTTTTTGGCCATGACCCCAACACTCTGACTTTCCTGAGCACAAAATGGTTTAGGACTGTTCTTTCTACCTCTTTATTCAGGATAGATGGAAGGCCTTGCGTGGAGGGGGTAATTGGGAAGGAGGTGAACACTGCCAAGGTATCTGACCCTTGCTGTTCATGGGAGAATTGATAGGCCCTTGTGGGGGTTAAATCCTGCACCCTAACTCCCCATTCACCCGATTTCCAAGTTGAGACTTCGCTCAACAACTCCTTCCAGCCTTCTGGGATGCCGTCGATAATGGATTGTAGATTCTCGTCTCGTCGGCGACATCCTTCAAGCTGGGAGGTAAGTACCTGTTATGTCACCCAGTCTTTTTTCTCCTCATTCCATAGATGGCTCACTTTCCAAACTGTATGTTTGATCCATGAAAGCCATCTCCTTCCTCTAGGATTAAGCGATAGTTGGTGATCACTTTCGTCCCTCACCCACAGATTGCCAAACAGGGGTTGCCTCAGTACCTCTTCTTTGGATTTGGGTCTACCCACTTTCCTTGGCATGACTTCCCGCCATATCCGCAGCAACGCAGTCCAATATGTTGTAGGGGGTCTGGCTTCATTTGGATTGGTTCCTCTTCGTTGATTCTGCGCCTTGTACTTGGTCTCCATTCCTTGGTCATTACCCAAAACAGGCCGGACATATTTGCTGGTGTGGCTGTATGTGCTAGGCCCCTGATGCTGTCCAAGGCCAGATTATTCCGTGTCGTACCAGGTTTAGTTAGTAGTTTGACTATCCATTTAACTAGTAAGGCTTTGGTTTCCTGTTTGGGGTCTATGATACCAAGGCCTCCTTTGGCTTGTTTCCTTGTGATGTAAAGCCATGCTATCTCTGGTATGCAGTTCTCTTTGTTGGGGTCACCCGACCACAAGTATGCTCTTGCTTTCCGGTTAATTTCCTTGGTTGTATGGTCTGGAACTGTCCAGATTGACGCTATGTACCACATCATTGAAAAAATAGATGTGTTGATGGCTAATGCACGCCCCAGCAATGATGTGAATGTATTACCCCATCTGCCCAGTTTGTTAATTTGTTTGGCGAGAATATTTTGGGCCATTTGAGGGGCGAATCCATCCTTTGTCAGCAAGATGCCTAGATATCCCGTAGGTGTCTCCGGTGTCTCCCATGGCATATCTGCCTCAGGGCCTTGACGTTGGGGAACCTCCTCCTCCGATAGCCACCAGCCAATTGTTTTCTTCCAATTAATCTTCATTTCTGATGCCAGTCTGAATGCTTCCATTGCTCTTACTAGTGAGCTGAACGACGAGTCTGAAGCTCTTATGAGGACCGTGAGATTGTCTGCAAACGTTATTACTGTCGGGAACCGTAGGTGGTGGGTTGTTCCTACATTGACCTCTGGTAGTCTGTGTACAGAGGGGGTTTTGCATAGGAATGATGCTATTGCTTCCATAACGAAGAGGAAGATTGGGGGAGCTAGCGGGTCCCCGTGGCGCACTAGTCGAGAGATTGGATAGCGGTCAGAAAGTAAGCCATTGACTTGGACGCACCCTATGGCGTCATTATACAGAATGCACACCCACTTCCTTAAATTTGAGCCCACTCCAATCTATTCCATGCTTGAATTGGGAAAGGCCCAGTTGACCTGGTCATAGGCATTTCAAAATCGAAAAAAAGAATTGTTGTGTTTATCCTTTTTTCTTTGAGTTTGTTGGCCGCTTCGCTGAGGTCAGTATGTTATCCAGGATGTATCTCCCAGGGATGAAACCTATTTGATCTATATGAAAGCATTTGTCTGTCAGGTCTAGGATTCGAAAGGCAAGAGTTTTGGCTAGGATCTTATAGGGAAGTGTTAGAAGCGAGATGGGTCTGTAGTTCCTGGTATCTTCTCTCTCCCCTTTTTTGTACAACAAGTGACCACACTGCGATTCAGTAGTCTTCCCAGTCCCCCCTCGAGCCAACTATCGTTGTAGAAGTTTAGCAAATCTCCTCCTAAGAGTGGCCAGAACTTTTCCCAGAATTCTTTTGTCAGTCCGTCGATTCCTGGAGACTTATTGTTGTTCATATTTTGGACTGCAAAATGCAGTTCTTCCATGATGATGGGCTTGTCCAGATCTTCTGCTTGCTCTTGAGGTATCGTTTGTTCTAGGTATTGCAGCATCCTAGTCCGTGCCTCTCTGGTGCTGGGCGGAGTCGGCATAGGGGTCTTCGTGTGGTCGGGCTCTTCGTAGAATTCCTTTTCTATGTTCAGCATTCCTTTGCTGTCTATCACTGTTTCAGTTCGATTTGAGAGGGTTTTCAGGCCTTCTATCGCGTTGCCCTTGAGTTGCTTTGATTCTTGCGAAGAAGTGTTTTGACATTGACTCAGCTCATATTTGTTCATTCTGGCTCTTATTTGTAGCCCCTTTGGTTCCCACCATCTACACATAGTGCTGGGCGGAGTGGACATAGGGGTCTTCGTGTGGTACAACTCTTCGTAGAATTCCTTTGCTACGTTCAACATTCCTTTGCTGTCTATCACTGTTTCAGTTGGATTTGAGAGGGTTTTCAGGCCTTCTATCGCGTTGGCCCTTGAGTTTGCTTTGATTCTTGCGAAGAAGTGTTTTGACATTGACTCACTTAGCTCATATTCGTTCATTCTAGCTCTTATTTGTAGTCCCTTCAGTTCCCACCATCTCCACATAGTGAGTTCTTCTCTTGCCTTTTCAAAAATGTCTCTGTAAAATGCCGAGGAGGGGTTATCGGTCAGATTTGTCTCTGCAATCTTCAGGGCTGTCTCCAACTACCGTTTGTGATAATGTGGAGTAGCTTTCCTGAAACCATTCCCACCGAT